ACAATGCCTCTACATGTTACCCTATTCCAAATATCTGGGCCTTCTCTCGAGCATGCTTCAATGCCCTTCCCTCTGCCATCATGGACAGTAGATACAATCAGACACCCTGTATTTAGAATTTTTCCTAAAAGATAAGCACCCTGAAATTACCTATACAGTAGCTAAATTCTGGGCCCAAGACATAAGGCTTCAGTATGTTCAGATCAGACAAAAGTAGGGATTGACTTATTAATAAGAATGTATTGTAGTTTTAAACTGTATTTGGTTGTTTTAAGAGTTAGGATTTGGTCTTGCTGTAATAAATGTTTGTGTAACGAGCTGCCACCTGTTGATCCCAAATCCAGTAACTTTTCTTGCAACCAATATTGATTCAAAAGAAAGTTCATTTATGGAGAATAAGTGTGCAGATCCAAAGCATTGCTAAGAGTAAGCAAAAGCGCGCCAAGAGCTGTTTTTCTTACCCCCCCCCCCCCCCACTTCACCACCCCTAGTTCTTGGTCTTCTGATTCCCTCGCTGGTACAACCTTTCACATTCCAGTGCCTGTGATAAGGAGCCATCTGCTTTCAACGGTTTCTCATTCCGGCTCCCCCCCCCTCCCTTTTACAATGGCAGAACTGCAGCATATAGAAAGCAATTTCTAAACTAGCCATATAACAATCTATTTTAAGATCTTGCGAGGATTCTGACATGCTGCCCCTCCACAAGTGAGGATGTCAGTCAGATGATTCCTCTTCTTCACTCTAAAAAATAAAAAGCAAAAAGAAACATAATATAATAACCATTCTAATTGTTAAGGCTTTGTAGGATAAACATCATAAAATGTTTTAAGTAAATGTGGAGCATTTACATGTTTCTTGTCAACCCATTCAGCCATTGATTTAGGAAAATGTTTCCACTGAATTAAAAATTGAACCCCTCCCCTCTGTTCTCTACTGTCCAGCATTTCTTTAACTTCAAAATGTTGTTCTCCTTCAACCATTATTGGCTTAGGAGGCACTGGGGAGGGATGCCATCGAGATGATTCTTTGTAGGGTTTAAGCAGGTTGCAGTGGAACACTGGATGGATTCTTTTAAACGAAGCAGGCATCTGTAATCGTAGTGAAACTGGATTAATTACTTTATCTATAACAAAAGATCCTATGAACTTTGGAGCGAGCTTTCTGGAAGGTTGTAATGATTTAAGATGCTTGGTAGATAAACGAACCTTATCGCCTACTTTCCAGTCCTTTTCTGGGGTTCTCTTAGCATCTGCAAATTTCTTGTACGTTGCTCTAGCCTCCTTCAATGACGCAGCAATCTGAGGCCACACTTGTGTCATTTGTTGGACCCATTCATCAACTGAATTGACTTGAGTGGACTGTTTGGGTAGTTCTGGAATGGGTACAAAGTCCTGTCCCGTAGCCATTTTAAAAGGGGTGAGGCCAGTGCCCTGGTGCACTACATTATTATAAGCTACTTCAGCAAAAGGTAACAGCTCATCCCAATTGTCTTGTTGGTAGTTAAT